AAGGTGCTGCAACTTGAATTCTTTGATCAGAAATCCATTCTCGTAGGTGTCTCCCTTGTAGGTGAAGCTCTTTCCAGTCAGCCCTCTGTTTTGTGTGACAAATCGCTCGTGCCTCTTCTTCGCTTCGAGCTCGTTGAATAGCCTCTGTGGTGGTCGATTTTGAAACGTGTTGATCGGCCCGAATGCGTTTGGTCGTTTGCGCTTTGCATCTGCGAGAGCTGGTCGTCCCTGGTCCTCTTCCAAGCCGTAGGATAGTCTGGGGACTAGTCGGAGTGTCACTTCGAGACCATTCGTTTCGACGTCCTCGATCATGGCCAAGTCGCCCATGTAGAGGCCTCGCTTGATGCGCACGTAACCACCGACTTCCAGCTCCTTGTCCTTTCTAGTCCTCAACAAGTCAGGCATTTCCTTGACTGGGACCAGATTCATCTTAGATCGCGGATAGACGTCCGGGATGTTGGTCAGGGCATCTTCGACATCGCTCTTCTTCAGAGCCTCGACAAAGATGTACCCGGCCATGGGACCGTCGCCTCTTTCAAAGACTGAACAGATTTGCAGCTGGTTCCGACCCTTGCTCTCAAAGTATTTCTTCATGATCCGGCTGACAATTTCTCTCTCTTTTCCAGCTTTGCATCGAACTCCCCAGATACTTGGATCGTTGACGTCCGGCATGAGCAGGTTCTGTGGCACAAAGGAGCCCTGGCTCAAGGCCGTGGTTGTTCTTCGACCGTACCGCTCTTTGTAAGCGGCCGCCTGCTTCTCCAGATCCATCGACGCCTCGATCTGCCGCTGGCGGTCCAGCTCTCTGTGTCTCGCGTCATCCTGGTCTGCTTCGGGGGGGAGGTCGTCGTCGGGGTGATTCTGCTCGATGAAATCGGGCCCAAGATCGTCCTCCTCGGCTTCGAGTTCATCATCGTCCTCGTCGACTTCGGCTTCTTCTTCGAAGAACTGATTGAGGCCTCGCCGCCGGCGCTTTCTGGGCCGACTGGTGATTGCATCTTCGTCCTCTTCATCGTCTTCATCTTCATCGTCCTCGTCTTCGCCGTTCAGGTCCTCACCCTCGCCTTCGTCATCTTCACCGATGTCCGCCTGCTCTTCTTGGTCACCATCTTCATCGTCCTCATCCGGTCGCGGTCGTCGATCCTTTCTCGCAGGAGAGGACGATTTGTTACCGTTCGTGGTAGGTGCAGGACGGTCGTCGTCTTCGTCTTCGTCGTCATCACCAGGTGCATTGGCGCCGCGCTCGGTCTTTACATCTGCTTCTTCACCCTCCTCGTCCGACCCGCCCTCGTACCCAGGGTTGAAGTCGTTGTCCGATTCTTCGTCGTCTCCACCAAAGTCCTGGTTCAGCCACGATTGTCCTGAAGCCATCTTGGTTGATCAGGGGCAACGAGCGGCCGCTTCGTGGAGGTCGAGGACTCGGTAGCTGGTCGTAGAGCGACCTTGTAGGAGAATGTTAGACAATTCTGGGGTTGTGAAATGGGCGAGGTGATGGTGATTGTTGAGCCCAAAAGAATCCCCCGATGGACAGCGCAGGCGGTTTGGATGCTTGGCGGGAATTCGATATCACGTGACTGTATGGAACTGGTCGCTTATTGGCCGCAACTCAAAGCTGGCTCAATGGGTACTCAGGCTTTCAGGTCAACACAGGCAATGCCGGGGCAAGGGGTCATGTTGGCTTGGGATAATTGATCATCAGACAGCTCAAGCAAGGGACCTGTGTGAGTACGGATACGCATTCACCAACAAAACAATATGAAGATGACTGATTCATGTCTCTTTTGTGCAAATGCTCACGACTTCAAGATCTGGTACTGCACGATCAGGATCTCGAGCTCCTGGACTCGCAAATGCTATGCTCGATACCCTCCCATTGCTCTTTTGGGTAGACTCCTGCTTCCTGTGGCAAGTTCCTTCACCCCGACAGTCAAATTTCAATCCCTCCTTTCCTCTGTCTCATTACAACTTCAATCCCAGATTAACGTGCACCGCCTTTGTTTGGGTATATGCCGCCAGGCCAGCTTCGCCGAGCTCTCGTCCGATGCCGCTCTGCTTGACGCCACCAAATGGCACTCTGAAGTCCGAATCGTTTGACGAGTTGATCCAGACCATACCAGCCTCAATCCTGCCCGCCACACGGTGTGCTCGCTCGATGTTGCTGGTAAACAATGCGCTGCCCAGGCCATAAGTCGTGTCATTCGCCATGCGCACCGCATCGTCCTCCGTCTTGAATGATGCAATGACCACAAAGGGGCCGAAGATCTCTTCGCGGTAGATTTTCATGTTGTCTTTGACGCCTGTGAAGACAGTGGGTTCGATAAAGAAACCCTTTCCGTCACCGACATTCTTGTACGGCACACCTCCGGTTGCCAGAGTCGCGCCTTCTGACTTTCCACTCTCAATGTATCCGAGGACTTTCTCATATTGAGCCTTGGTCACCTGAGGGCCTTGGAACGTATCGTCGGCAAATGGGTCGCCGACCTTGGACGTGGTCTTGACAACCTCTTTGAACAGCTCAACGAATTTGTCGTAGACGCCTTCCTGAACAATCACGCGGGAGGTGGCCGTACAGATCTGACCCATGTTTGACATGATGCCAATGTGGGCCCATTTGGCGGCTTGCTCGAGATCGGCATCGTCAAAGACAAGAAGGGGTGATTTGCCGCCAGTCTCCAAGGTGATGTTCTTCATGTTGACGCTGGCTGTCTTCATGATTTGTTTACCTGTGACGGTGCTGCCAGTAAAGGCAATCTTGTCCACACCCAAATGGGAGGCGAGAGCGTGTCCTGCTTCCCTTCCGAAACCATTCACAATATTGATGACACCAGGAGGGAAGATACCCGGAACGAGACTCGCGAGGTAGAGAATCGACAGGGGCGTCTGCTCCGCGGGCTTGAGAACTACAGTGTTGCCGCATGCGAGAGCCGGTCCGAGTTTCCACGCGGCCATGGCCAGAGGGTAGTTCCAGGGAATGATCTGGCCGCAGACGCCAATGGGCTGCTTGAGGGTGTAGGCAAACTTCTGGGGGTTGGTGGGGATTGTCTCGCCATGAATCTTATCCGCCCATCCCGCATAGTATCGGATGGTGGACACGACCTCGCCCAAGTCCTCGTTCAACGCGACACTGTATGGCTTTCCGTTGTCCCACGTCTCTAGCGTGGCAAGTGTTTCCTTGTTTGCCTCGAGGACGTCTGCGAACTTGTACATGAGGGCGCCGCGGTCCGTGGCAGGGAGGTCGCGCCACGAAGGGTCATTGAAGGCCGCACGAGCGGCTTTGACGGCCTTGTCAATGTCATCCGCAGAGGCTGCTTCGACGGAGCAGATTTCCTTTTCGTCCCTGAGCAGATTGTAACAGTCAGTGCGAGTTGCAACCCAAAAGCCCAGAGTCCAAAAGGGTGGATAGAGGTCACTCACGAGGGGTTGATGCTGGTGATCTTCTCACCCGAACTCGCCTTGACAAACTCGTTGTTTATGAAAAGACCAGTGGGCAAGGTGATTTTCCGCCCATTGGGCGCAGTCAGCTCGACTTTCAGATCTGCCATCTTGGACAATGACTGGCGAGCAGTGGAAAACGGTCGTGGATCAAGATGCCTGTTCACAGCACAATTCCAGGGTGGACAGCGAAGAGAAAAGGACCTCGAAGTCAACAGCAGGAATCTTAGCGAGGACTTGGACATGTAAAAGGACAAAAGTCAAAGGGAGGGGGGAGAAATCCTGTCAAGAAAGATTTGTTATATCTAATCAACCAGGACAGACCCGCGTCAACGCCCTTTACCAGGTGAACAGGCCAATTGACACACGTTGTTGTGTCGACGTTGGAGCCACCCGCAAGCTATTTTTTCGGGACTCGATTGCCTTGTTTGGAGCTGTCCACGCCCACGGCGATCAGCGTGTCGTATTGTCGTAGTAACGGAAAGCTCACAGCAAGTCGCTGAGCTCCGATAAGAGCCAACAGAAAAGAGGGGAACTGAGGGGCAACGACGATAAAGGCTGTACTAGGCTTGTCCGGCTGCGCCTGCCCTTCTTGGCTTCACATACTCGCACCCGCCCAGGAAAGGAACCTCAGCCTTGTGCACTCATCGTTTTTGCCGAGGTTCGCTGGCCATCTTCCAGGATCAAGGGGCGGGCGGCTGTGGAGGAGGCTGCTGCTGCTGTTCTGGGAGCGTCTTCCTGCAGGCTGCAAGAGCGGAAGGGAACCAGAGTCCTGGTACTTAGCACTCTGTGGGCACCTCTCAAACTCGCAAACTCAATCGACTTCCACGTGGATGGCCAGAGGCTCGAAACAGCAGGCAATGGCGAGACACTTGGCTCACTCCTTCCACCAATCGATTGACTCTCCTCTGTGAAGACACCTCCTTGTCCCCACCAGAAATCCAGAGGGCCGGCAAGAACAGAAACACCGGACGGAAGGATTTGAAAGAAATCGACGTAGATACAAACACGCCGTGTGCGGAGAGACAGCTTGTAGTCTGATAACGACCTACAACGCACCTCCAAGATCTGAAAGCCTTCCAGCCTAGCCGAGTCATTGACACCTGGCCTCCCGGCCAAGGAACCCGACGGCCCTACACAAGCGCCCGAAAGTGGACAGTAGCAGATGCAGCTTGCTCGTTTGGGAAATGAGCCTGCCTTCATGTAACACTCGCGCATTCGATACGAGGCCTTGCACCAGGGATGCATCCACGGAGCCAAAATCAAATGTGCGGCATCGAAATTCGAGAATTCCTATGTCAGCCCTATCGCTGTGTCTTGCATCATCCTTCCTCAAAGGTATTCCACACCTGGAAACCTTGACCAGCTTCCAGGTGCTCATAAATGTTGTGAGCACAGCCGTCTCAGTTCCGTGTTGCTCCATTTACAAATTTGTGCATCTCTTTTGCCACTATCCAGGTCATGTTGTGCCCAGTTGCGCAGAGTCGTTCTTTCACTCCGCCACAGCACTTGTTACCAATGTCCGAATCGCTGCCGTGAAGTTAGTCCGGCTAAAGCGACACGTCGACTTAAATGGCGCCTGTAATTCCTAGGCCTAGAGCTCCATTCGAAAGTCCATTGTCTCTGTCGCCATCGCTGGCGGCAGCGGTCTCCTCGCCTTCGCCATCAACTTCCGATTCGTAACCTCCCATGACATCCCCATGTCCCAAGGAAACTGACTCTCCAGCCTGGTCAAGAATGAATCTCCATTCCTCAGGTGTGACCGCCGAGACGCTGAGCCGACTCTGCTTCAATGTTTGCATATTCTCCAAGGCTCCACCAGGCTTTGCAAACGACTTTAGCTCTTTGAGCGTGACAAGGTTGTCAAACTTCTTGACGAATTCGACGTGGACGAGTTCCCATTTAGGCTTTGCGCGGTCGGACTTGGGATCAAAGTAGGGATGGGCAGGGTCAAACGCCGACTCATCCGTGGTATGTTCGCCGACGATCCGCATGACACCTGCAATGCCGGGCGTGGCACAATTGGAATGATAGAAGAATGCCAAGTCGCCTTTGCGCATTGCCCGCATATTGTTTCGAGCCACAGGGTTGCGTACGCCTGCGTTTTTGTCAGGGTTCGCATCACGGATGGACACCAGTACTCACCATCCCACCCCTCAGGCTCCGTCTTGGCAGCCAGGTCGTCGATGGAGAATTTGACATCGTGGCCCTTTTCGATTCGAGACTCGGGTTCAGCCTTCATCAACCAGTACTGTATGTCATGGTCAAGCGCGGCGATCTCGCCAGACTTGTTTGTATCGCCATTGCTCGTTGCGGGGTGTCTCTCTGAAACCAGGGCATCTTCAGACTCGGACTCGGACGATGCATTCTTCACCTTGGGGGCGGCTTTCGCCTTTCTGCCGACCTTGGCGGTTGTCGTCGTCGGAGCAGGTTTCTTCGCACTCGGCTTCTGCTTTGATGCACGAGCTGTCCGTGTAGAGGACGTGACGGACGTGGACGTATTGGAGCCTGTTGAATGAATCAACACCATGCACAACTTCGCGTCAAAGAAGAGCTCGACGGACTTTTAGTTTTCTTTACAGCCGATACCGCTGGCTTCGATCTGAGATTTTGTTTCGGCGCAGGGGAGGCTGTAGCCTGGGGTGGTCTCCCTCGCTTCTTCTTCACGACTTCGTCTTTGGGGCCAGCTGCAGCCGCAGCCGTGGTCTGATCGCTAGATGAGCTGCGTCTTGTAAAGGTGTACTGGGGCTCACCAACAGAAGACCGCTTGGGGCGACCGGCCGGCGCAGCTGCGGGGTGGTCGGAGATCTCAGATGTGCCGCCGATGCGGACTTTCTTGGTAGCCGGGGTGCTGGCCGTCGACGAGACTTTGCGCTTCCTGGGAGGCATGATGCTTGAATTCTACAGAGATATGGCAAAAAGTCCGTGAACCGAGTAGAGAGACCGTGCACACGCCGATTTAGATATTTAGCCGAGGCACAGGAAAGAAGGAGAAGAGAGTGGTTGTGGAGACAACTGAAGTCCTACCAGACAGAGATCAGAAATGTAAGTTATTGATGAAGGGAAAGAAAAGGCCGTGGATAAACGCGTCGTCGCGTGGTTTGATCGCGCCAAGCCAAGCAGATCCAGCCCAATCAGGTTGCTTGCTGTTGTCACTGGTGATCGAGAGCAAAGTGAGAACAAAGTGAGAACAAAGGGAAGCACCAATACATTTGCCATGTTTGATAGGTGTCTATTCAGAAACACAACAATCAATCTCCCTTTGATAGCGTTAGTTTCTATCATTCATCGTCTTTAGAAACCCCTCGATGGCAATGAACTAAGAAAGTTGATACTGGATGTGATCACGAAGCTCGATAGACTGCCAATCCTCCCCCAGTACCTCCACGTTCTCCTTTCGTATGACGACAGAGACAGAGCTCAGCCTGCTTTCGCATTGCTGATGCTGTCTGGCACGTAGCGACGGCGACATCCTACGAGGACACTTCGGCCTCAGGCTTTCAGCAACGATGGACACGGACGTCAAACCCGCGGAGTCCGGAGTTGCTTTGATAGCCTGAATAAGCATTCCGCTTCCTTGCACCTCTTTCCAACAGGTTTGATACTCCTTCAATCGGCACTTGTCCTACCTGACAGCAGCAACCCCCTTTTCCATTCGGCCCGATGTCGCGTGACTGCCGACCCTACCCTACGAGGTACCCTCCAAGCGGATCTTTTGTTGTGAAATCGTGGTTCGGGAACAGACGCGCAGGATGGGAGGAAAAAGAGACCCGACTGCCGGATGAGGGCATCGGACCTTGTCAGGCTGTCGGGGCCGTTTGTTGCACGCACCGGAATAATTGCTCTTCTCGTCGATAGCGCAGCGTCTAATGCACGAGTCGACTGTGAAGAAGGGTGTGACCAAGGCAGAAGAGATATGGGATCGTTTGGACAAGAGCACAAGTTACGAGACGGAAGCCAAGACGAGCGAAGCACCCGGGGGGGAAGTGGAGGTCACAAGGATACCAACCCCAAGAACCAGGGCAGATACCCTGTCAAGTTCCTAGTCAGTCAGTTGCCCTTTTTGGATCTAGCTGCAACAAAAGAATTGTCCGAAGGAACGGTCGGTTTGGATTTTAAAGCCCTTAACTTTTGCGTAGGTACCCAGCCCGTCCCTGCAAGCCACGTGTTGATTTCCCCCCGTCCCCTTGCAGATGATCTGATGTCGTGGCTTTTTCTGTTCTTGTTCTTTGCCCACACCCCTCCCCTGTCTCTCGAGCGTGTTGCTTTCCCACCCCCCTCTTTCTCTCAAAGGACATTGGTCCAGGTTGTGAGGCAAGCATGAGGACTAAGTCACCTCGAGCATGCTATTGCCCAGTAGGTGCGAAGCGAGGGGTTTTGAGAGCGGGGGTGGTTCAGAAAGCACGCAATCAGCAAACCATCAAGTAACAAAGGTGTGCTTGCTGCCTGGTGAACTACGAGTGACTTAGCACGACGGAGACGGGACGTAACGAACTCGTCAAGAAAGGAGAGAATAGGAGATCCTTTCCCAGACCTTGTAAAGCCCAATCGCCGCCACCTCTACTTGTACAGGAATGTCACCTGCAGCTCGACTGCATGCCATCACGCAAATCACCTGCCTTTGCCTTCTGCCTCCTGATTCAGCCACCAGCTTGCTCTGACCAGGGAGATGGTTGTATTCACCTGCCTCGCCTCCCCGCAATGATCGCCTCTTTGAACTCTCTCCGTTACCAGGTGCTCCATCTGTCTGGTTTGGTTTGCTTGTTCGCGAGGGCGGAAAAGGGGGCCAAAGTGACATCAACACTCTCTCACCCATCATCACCCATCGCTTGCAGACCAGAGTGATTACTGGCAGCATTGGGTCGCAGGGACTGGCCAGTATTGGTGGTGGTGGTGGAGAAGTTCGATGCCACCACCATCATCATTTTGTAGGTATCATCACCCGCCAACCACGTGTTGTTTGTAACTTGGGGAACCACCAACCCACCCGCTCAGACTCCCTGATCCCTGATCCCTGCTCCCTGCTCCCCTGCCTGGGCCTACCAGAAACATGCTCTGCAGGAATGCGGCATGTCATGCAATGCAATGCAATGCACCGCACCACCTCGTCACGTCCGGTACCTCGTAGATTTTTTTTTGACAGCTGCAAATGCAATGCAGCCTCTAAGCGGTAGCGCCGGTAGCGTCCTCGGTAGCGTCGACTTGTTTGCATTGCTTGGGCCGCTTTGCAGCTTGCCAGGAACGTTTGGGAGTGGATGCGTAGCGTGCCGTGGATCTTGTCCGTCTTATCTACATACACACAGACAGACAACACACGAGTATCGAAGTACCTTACGAGTAGGTAGGTAGGTAGGTAGGTAGGTAGGCAAGAGGTACCTCGCACCTCGGTTTTTCTTACGGTCCGCTTTCCTTTCCCTTCCTTTTCGCCTTGTCTTCTTTGCTTCCTTGTTTCGTCCCGGTCCATTGTCCCTGCCGTGTCAGGTCGCGTCATTTCGCGTCATGTCGTGTTACCTACCTACCCACCCACCTACCTACCCTCGCAGGGATTTGCTCCACGGCTTCATCACAAGGACTTTTGTCATTTCTCCCATCACCTTCTCCTTCTTCTTCTTATTCGCGATCCTCCCACCATCCCGGGCCGAGCCAGTCGCGAACGTCCCCCCTAGGTTTGTCGGTTGGGTGAGGAAGGACCAAATCAAAATCGGAGAAACATGGCCCTCCCTTGCCTTGTTGTTTGTCGCCCAACCCGTGAAGCAGCCAATACGAGTGTGGTGAGTACTCGTATGTGTAATAGGTATTGAGCAGACTTGAGGACTTCTCCGGACAAGAAACTCTTACGAGTGGTAACAAAAAGGTGCATGACCGGCTGGGTTGGAATGAACGTGTCCAGTATTATTAGACACTGCTCCCGCGAGTACAAAAATCAAGTCTTGTGATCTCGCGCCATGCAAGAACCATCGAGATGTATTTGCTCGGGTATCCCGATCTTTCGTGCATTTAACTACCCTACCCTAGGTAGAAGTTACAAGCTACCTACATACCTACATACCTACCTTAGGTGCCTACGAGCAGGTACATACATACTTCGTTAAATGTACATAAGCCTCGTGGTCATCTCGTCTCGTCTCGTGTCGTCAGGACCCACAGTTCAGCTTCAGCCAGCCACTGCTAGAAATGGCCGCAACCGCAAACGTGAGGCGAAGCGCATACACCTACATACATGCATCCATGGGGAACAAACTCTACGGAGTATTGTACACCTTGGCTTGTCAGTAGCTTCGGGGATCAAGAGATGATCGTCGCTTGATTGCCAAACTCGTACAAGGGCAAGGACAACTAGGACTAGACAAGGTGAGGCGGCTGGGGCCATGGGGGAATCCTGGCAATTGGCATCTAGCAACTCGAGTGGTCAGCCTGTCTGCGAGCTGCGAGAATTGCTCGTGCATACTCGAGGATCGGGACCCGTCAGCAATAACAAACAAATGGGTATTGCATGGCGTTTGCTGGCCCCTCTTCGACTCCTCTCCTCTCTTCTCCTCTCACTCCCTGTAGAGTTCGAGGTGGAAATGTTGCGCAGAAACGAGGGAGCCAGCACTCTCCAAGCCAAGCTAGAACCCGGTCAAGTCCTTTTTTAAAAGTGAAATGGTCAATCATGCCAACCAATCGTCGTGCACGAAACAAGCTGTTTTCCGGATCCGGTCCAATATCTGCGTCAGAAATCACCTGTTCAGTCATTGTCATTGGCCGTCAAATCTACTTCGCAAGTGCGCTCTCTCTCTCTTTCGTAAATGCTTTGGCGTCAACTGCTGGATTAGCCAGGTTGCCTCACCAGGCAAGCACCAACCTCTCGCATCAGTCGAGAACCAGTCATGCCTGCTAGTCATGCCGTCAATCTGCAACTCGGGTCCTTGGTCGGGGAATCAAAGCGGCGGCAGCCCGTCATGGCCCACCATGACGAAGGCGTCACCCTGGTTTCTGAGAATGACTGGTCAAGGCTAGCTCCGTCGCCGTTTTCGAGCAAATTGGCTGCCAAAAATGTCTGGTGGATTTCCCCAATAGGTTGGTCCACGGCGGATGGGTGGGAATTTGGGACCACAAGCTGCCTACTGCGCTGTGTCCCTCTGTGAATACAATATCTAAACAAATGGGTGTGTCTGTGAAGCGTGGGGTCGTCTCTCGTAGATAAATATACAAAAGTACAGTTCACCAGCGATATGGTGGGTTCAAAAGTTGGCCAAAAAAATACTCGTAGAGCCTTTGCTGTCTTCCGGTGGAGTTTTCTGGCTTCCTTCTCCTGCAGTGGTCTGGGACTGCTATAGTCTGCCTCATCTCTGTCCGATGGTCCCCAACGCCACAGAGAAGAAAATATTAATCCAAAACAAAAAAAGGAATATGAGTGTGTATGTGTGTGGGGGGTATCTCGCAGGTCTTAACACCACGACCGATGTGAAAACAAAAGCAATGAGTCAAGGAAATGATGCCCAAAAAAATTGTGTTGGTCCAATTTGTGCAATAAGAAAACGGGCAAGCCTGTAAAGCCCTTGTGACGGCAAGCGCAATATCCCATTCTGATCTCGGTCATTCGTAATCATGTCCCACCACGGCGGTGGAGGGATGTTGCTTCTGAGGTCGCCCTCATTGTCGTCTCTCTAGGAATAGTCATTTCGAAGGGTGAAAAAAGGGGCGTTTAATGGATCACTTGATGCCGAGAATCGCCTTTCTCACCGGCCAGAGTTCCAGCTCCTGTCAAACGGATCTCTCCGAAAGGGGTCGTAGGATTGCGATCGGGTGACGGGAGGAGGTGGTGGCGGGCCAGGTGGAAACGCCCTGGACGCTCCAAACATGCTCGGGACCGGAGGCGGAGGAAGTGGTAGAGAGGGTTGTGACGA